TATATATACAAACACATGTCTATTTTCGATAATGTAAAAAAACGATCAGACCGCTGACATGGCAGAAATCAATATCGGATACTGGCCCAGTTTTCCTTGTCGGGCCGATACAGATTCGCTAAAATTTTACCAACATCAGCCGATACTGATGTTAATGCTGAGATATTTCGTGCATCCCTTTTTACTTTTTACTCCCATTTCATTTGGRCTTGTTTTCATTCCGGCTTGTTATTGATAAAAAAAATTATCCAGATGAATTGTGCCACCTGAATAGAGTGAATCTAAATGTGAATGGGTGAAGTGTAAATAGATATGTAGCCTAGTGCAGCTGAAACAGGTAGACTAGTGCATCATTCACATATAAAATGACATGGTCATTTTGGCTTTTAGAAAAATGTTTTTGGGGAGATCACCTCCCATTAAATGTACTTATTTTTACGCAGTACTTTTATTTTTAATACTTAAGTACTTTTTATAGCAGAAAATTACTTTTGATACTTGGGTACACAAATTTTAGATACTTAAAAGACTTTTACTCAAGGAATATTCTTAGAGGAGACTTTAACTTTTACCAAAGTAATTTTATGGTAAGATGCTTGTACTTTTACTCAAGTATCACTTTAAGGTACTTTATACAACAGTGGTAAGGGGCCGGGGTTAGGCTGTAGAAATTAATAGAAGTCAATGCAAAGTCCACACAAGTATAGAGAGACAAGTTTGGTTGTGAATTCTAGCTGGCAAAGCATTAATATACTGTCATTCAATCCTTAAGACTCCAAAAATGCTCTTGATTTTAGTTTTTTCCAAGAATCACACAACAACAAACACCTATTCCACATAAACACAATCTTCAGAAATTTACATGAAATATACAGAACAAATAATACAAGCTCCGAATCAGGTCAGGCCTATTTATAGAAGAAAAACAAACAATAAAATAAAATAAAATAAAACTAGAAATCAACACATTTCTTTTGGTCTTGCATCATCAGCCAAAAGCCAAAACATATATAATGTTAAATCAAAATAACAAAGAAAATAAAACTTACAGTTCTAGCACAGACATTTTAATTCTACATCTTTAAATAAATAGCAACAGAATCAGATGGAAAAAAATAACCACTATACACAGTATGGATTTAAATGTTAGTACATACAGTATGATACCAAGATTTACCACAACGAAAGATAAAAAGTCTGTAGGAATGAGTCACGACGTGTGTTCAGGAAGTGTGAGGTACATCRGGATACTCAGTGTGACAAAAATGTTAGGAGAAACGTTTTCATTTTATTTTCTTTTTAATGTTTTCTATTAGGTCAAAGCTTTGGGGATCGGTTCATTTTATGATAAAACTCTAGTAAAAGACAGCTTTTTCTTCTTTTCTCTGCACTCTTTTAAAATAAAAGTGGTAAACAAGCCAACTTTTCTGAATAAACCAACCATCGTGAAGCTTTTAACGTCGAGGCAGAGAGAGTGACCAGCATGTCGGACTGAGAGCTCAGTCCGCTGCTGGTGGTGCTGGGGGCCGCAAGAAGAACAGCTGAATCATTTAGTTACAGAAGCTCCTGCATAMGACTGGAAGCAGGTCTGAGTCGGTGTCGACTACTAGTCCATGACTGCCTTTCTGTCTTTCATGCATGCCTACGAACCTTAAAAACCACTTCATCCACCTCCTTAAATGAAAAACAAGCAAAATAAATCACATGCATCGATGAGGTTGTATTTCACCTGTGGGTGGGGTGGGGGTGGCTGCAAGTCCACACCGAGGACGACGACATGAAAAAGTTTTACCGCTTTCGTCCCTGAAGATGCAAGACACAATTTGACAGGGAGAGGATGAACATAACAGAGGAGAAAAGCAAAAAGAAAGAACAGAAGAAAAGGTAGAAAAGCAGTAGAATGAAACGAGAAAGGGGGGGGGGGGGCTCCCTGTCAGGTTTAGAAAACTGTGATTCATGGGGACCATTTGTCCTAATTACAGCGGAACAACGCTTTTGTCGCTATTAATCACGCATGTTGTGTGTGTTTGTATTTGTACTGGGAGAGAGGACAGGATGGGGGCTGGGGGGGGGGGGGGTTCATAGGTGAACAGTAAAGATCAGTGGCCTCTCAGGTTTAAATAGATGGCCAAGATGATGGTGACGAAGATGACAGCTCCGAGGATGAAGATCAGGACACGATTCTGGATGATCCTGCAGGAGAGGAAAAGCACAGGAGATCAGGAGAGATTTATAGAGAGAGCAATAAACCAAACAGTCACACGTTTCTGTGCAAACTAAACAGGCAGACATTAACTGGAAGCTCACTGGGGTTTAATAGGTACCATAAGTCCCGAGTACATTTATCAGTACACAGGGATGGAAACATTCAATCGAATATTTACTAATAAGAGTCTGATTGGTTCTCACGTGTCCTACTGATGTATGTACATGTACAAAACACATCTGACACATAAACATTTACACACACATACACACACACGGGCTCTCAAACTTTATTTGCAGAACAAAATGGAAAAAGTGACTCAGTAGTTTCCCGGAGATTATAAAACTCAATGGAATTTGCAATAAAACGTCGCCCTCCTTTGCACGTTTAAATGTCCACATTTTTACTGAAGTCAACTTTTAGAAGAGGTGTGAGGTGTGGGCGTGTGTTGGGGGGGGGGGGGCTTTGAACCACAAAATATACAGCTGAAGAGAAGGGGGGGAAAATGGAGACGTATTCATAAGTCCCCTTCTCCATCAGTGAAAACACACACACAGCAAACCCTCCGCTGCTTCTGACAAATGAGAGAATTATCACATTTGCTGACTTGTGGGGGGACAGAGGAGAGGCTGTGCATTGGGAGGTGGTGGGGGCACTGTCCACTTCTCTAAGCAGGAGATGAATAGCCCATGCTGTGGTCATTTATCACTGAAGAGTGGGGGTCTGGCTGGTTGCTCAGTCACCCTGCTACCCTCTAAAGTCCAAGTCTGAGCTCAGCCCAGCGGTCGAGCTGTTGGCCCTCTGCAGTCCACCAGCTCTGATTTACAATAACCTCAGATAACCACTTTGTTTAAAGCTGGGGTGTTCTGTTAGATTCTTCTTTTAAAAAAAACACTTTAGTAGTATTTTTGTCCCTTTTTTTTTGTTTGTTTTACAGAAATGGTTACTAAACCTCTCAAAAATGGTTCCACCACATTTAAAAACGATTTTACTCACAGCTAGAACAAAACACACTCACAAAAAAAGTCTGCAGTACAATAAAAATGACCATAATTAGCTTGTTTYACTAAGGTTCTTATAGTTTCCATTTAAAAAAGACCATTTAATTTTAATTTTTTTAAAGACTTTTGAATGTTTGGACTTTCATTGTGAAGTTATAGGAAATWTTTGAATGTTGGTCAGTCTTTTATTATCTGCATGTTTTATTATTGCTTCTAAATAGAGTTTTGAACCTAATAAATCTTAAAGTAGACATCATGATTTAAATTTTTTCCTTCACATTTAAATCATTCATTTGGGGTCTATACAAAGTAGAACTGCATTGCTTTGGTCTGAATTCCTCCTTGTAGCTCCACAAGCCCCTCTTTCACCCCTTTTCCTGATGTGTAATGGTGCGTTCACACCGAACGCGATTTCAGCRTCAGGAGCAGCAGGTTTACATWCAAAGTCTATGGTGGAYGCGCTTCAAGCAACGTCGGGAAGTGCTGCGGCGCCTCAAGCGCGATTAGAGCAGCGCGATTTGAACGATTTGAACGATCTGAGCGTTCGACGCGCTGAGGCGCAAATCGCTGAAGTTAGAAAATCTGAACTTTTGCAGCTCGACGCGCTGCATCAACCAATCAGAGACTCCACTGTGTGACGTAGCGACATATTTCCCGACGGGACAGTTTACTGAATGATGTCCACTAACCTGAAACAGATGGAGAGGAGCTCTTTAGCTGAAATCGAGTGCCTGCACTCCTGATCCGCACCAATGCGTGGCAGTGACTCATCAGACTAGAAAAATAGTCCTGAAAGCGAGCTGTGAGCCTCTACTCTGAATTATCTGGTGAATTAAYTATGAATTAATTATCTGATGAACGTGACATGCTCCTTCTCTCTGTAAATAAAGCAAAGCCACTTCCTBGTCCGACATTAAACAGAGCCCGACAGAGGAGGGAGGGGCGGGGAGGCTCTGCCGTGCAGCGCTTCAASAGCTGACCTGCATCTGACCTCAAAGTGCACAAGCTTCAAACTTCAGCGTTGGCTGCGATTTTGAAGCTGAAATCGCGTTCGGTGTGAACGCAGCATAACTCAGATCAACTCGTTTTGAGGCTGTCTCTTTAAATCCAAATGAAGCGCTTTATGCCCCGCCCCCCTCAAGCTTCCAGACCAGTCCATTTTAGTTTGATAGAGGGGTTTAGGAGTATATAGCGGCGCAGAAACATTTTATTTACAAACTAATTAATAAATGTCAACAAGGGACGGCTTGTCCATCCAGCCTTACATGTTGGAGCCAGAGTCTGACCCAGAGCCAGAGGAGGATGAAGACCACCAAAGTGTAATTTGTAAGTCCAGAACTTATTAGAAATCCCATTTAAAAAACTGTGACGTAATAGTTCAGAAAACATCATTGAAAATATAGAAAAYTGAAAAACATGACCCAAACAGAATATAAAGATATCTATGCAGCACCAGGAGAGACTAAATTCAACTTTTCTGCACTCCTACAGACTCCCAAGTAAAAAAACAAAATACACTTAACAGCTAAAAATGTAGATTTTCATGCTTTGTCCTTTGTAAAGCCAAGTCGTAACAACTCACACACACACGATCGACATTTATGCAGCACCTTTTCAAACTGAGCTAATTCAGTCAAGTGTTTTGCCATGTGTTTMMCATTCACACAGAGCTGTCCTGCAAGGTGTTTCTATAACAGCGGTGTCCAATCCTGGTCCTTGGGGGCCACTATCTTGCATGTTTTAGTTGTTTCCCTGCGCTTCTGCAGGTTTTGAATTTCTGCAGAAGCCTGTTAATCACTCGTGCGTTCCTACCAGGTGCGTCAAAGCAGAGAAACAACTAAAACATGTTGGATAGTGGCCCTCGAGGACCGGGATTGAGCACCACAGCTAATACTAAAATCCTCAGTTTGAATAATGTATTTGTTAAACTTGACTCCATTTTTTTAGAAAGTGTAAAAAAAAAAAAGTTTGGAAAGCTAAATTTTGTTTTGTGTTCTGTTTATTTTCCCCAAACCAAATTTTGTACATTTTGGCACATTGACAGACTGAGTGGGAACTCTGTTCTGGCAACAAAAACTGCAGCACTTATAATGCAGTCATAACACTCATCACTCCTGCTGTATTTTAGAAGCAGTTAATCTTTGATGAAATGCATACATGCAGTATTATTAAACTGTCAGACACCATTTAAAAAACAACACAAGTAATAAGGATCAGACCGTTTTAAAACAGATACAAATCTTTTTAACCTGTTCAGAATTGACCAGATTTTATAGGACATAAACAAACAGCTTGCTGTGTTATGATGAGAACTAAAGCAGTGATGGGCAAACCTCACTGTGGCGTCTGAATGAGGCTCGTACGATTGGCTGAAACCAGCTGGGGAGGAGATCCCAGAGAAACACTAATCAGAGCGTGCTTAGCAAGGCCACGTCTCCCTCTATTAATTGACATTCATTATTTACAATGATTATTTATCCCAGCCAAATACCCGGAGGAGTGTGTGCATGTGTGTGAGTGTGCGCTGGAAGAAGCCAGCTCGTTTTGTGATGCTGGTTTATTTTTCAGCTGTGTAAAACCATACAGGAAGTTTGTTTCAGCCACAAAGACGAGGACAGGGTGCTGATAGAATAACATTTAATGATTTGGAAGCAGAAAATAATTTCAAACACCTAAATGTTCAACTATACAAGATAACGTTATATGGTTTTTATGTTTCTATGGCTAAAGGCATCTGATCTAAACCCTTTATCAAACAATGTGAACTATAACTTAATAAAGAATTAAGTYCTCCAAAATAAATAATTCATACATTCAATCTTGGCGCAACTTTGCAGTTTTTCTAAATAATCTGTTGGAAAACTCATTTTCAAGCCATGTTTTTTTTTTTAGAATTTACTCTTTACCCCAGTAGGTTCCTACAATAAAAACAAAATATTAAAAAATTCCTTAGAAAACAAAAGCAGCCAAAATGAAACCTTTTCAAGAAATATAAAAGCCTTTTCTACCAAACAAAAGGAAGAAAAGAAAAAATAAATCCCTAAACCTGGGAGGTAGGGGAGTGAAGGACATCGTTCTCCTCAGCTGTATGGTTGATCCTGTCCTGACACGTGGCCAGACAGAACAGAACTTATCAAACCGGATCCATCCTCCTGTTTTGACACTTGACATAAAGATGGAAGGCGAGGAATGGGGAGGGAGGGAAGGAACGGGGTGTGTGTGTGTGTGTGTGTGTGTGTGTGTGTGTGTGTGTGTGTGTG